GAAAATTCCAAACGAAAAAATATATATGAAGAGCAAAATTACGTCGTCATTAAAAAAATAATAGACGACGAAAATGACGATACGGTTGAATATAAGCGTTTCATCTCTATTCCCTATCGTCCGAAAAGGAATGAGCTTCAAAGATAGATACAAAAGTCCTTTGTGAAAATAAAAATAAAGTGTAGTTGAGTAGCCGCATTCTCCGTTGGTGTTAGGTCTTAGTCACTTTCCATATATATCTCCCTACCATACCCCAAGCCTTGTTTTCGTTACACCTTTTAAGACCTTTTGATTTATAAGCATGTATTTTATCCAAGTAGTGGAGAGTGAGAGATTTTTCAAGTATATGGTAGGTACATGCTAGTACATTGACGATTTGAGCGATACACTTAACCCAAGGAGTGAATCGAGTGTTACTTTGTTAATCCCATTCGTGAGAGTTCTCGAGATTAGCTTGTGTCTACTTGATTGTGTGTGCATCCTCTTTTCAATGCTTTGTTGAAAATCTCAAACTCATGATATGCTATATGTGTTGACATTCTCGTTAGATTCGATTTTTAACTACGTGTTAACTTAAGTCATTGCCGGGACGAACAATGATCTAAGTGTGGGGGAATTTGATAAGTGCAAATTTATACATTATTTTTACGCTAAAGTTGTCTAATAATTAATATTAATTAGATGCTTAAAAGTTCTAATTAAGTTTTAATTATTTGAGGCAATTCAAGTTGGAAAAGAAAAAAATAACAATTTGATTATTTATTCATTTTTCTTTTGTTTTCTTGTTGATCTCACAACAAACAGCCCAACAAAAAAATGCCCACCAGCACTAATATTCTGACAATCAGCAGCCCAACAGCAGCAATAGCCCAAAAGAACCAGCAAACAGCAACGAGAAGGAACAAACAACAGCCCAAGCTGCTGCCTAGTCCTGAAATCGGCAGCGAGAGAGAGAGACGTGGGCAGAACACGAGAGACGGAAGACGTGGGCAGCAAGGGTCATGGCGATGGAACGAGTGAATTAAAAAGGAGCAGTCGGTCATCAAGAAGAAGAAATCGAGAGTGACAGCAAGGTGTTGTCGATTGAAAGCAGAAAAAAAGAACTCGAAGAGGGAAGAAGCAGTCGGTCGAGAGGGAGAAATCAAGAGAGGAAGTTATCGATTGGGACGAGCCTGTCGATCGAGAGCAGCAAACAGAAACCGAGAGAGGCAGAAATCAAGAGAGGAAGTTGTCGATTGGGACGAGAACCTGTGGCTCGAAAAAGAAATTGAAGATATAAAAGTCGATTGAGAGCTCGAGACAGAAATCGAAAGAAGTAGATAGAATTTGAGAGAAATCGAGAGGACAGAACCTGTGGATTGGGAGGAGAAACAAGGATCAATTTCCAGATTTTAAGAGTGTTTTCTAGACAATTTCTAAAGGTTATCGTCAATTTCTCCATTTCAATCAACAKGTTAGTTTATATCRGTCTTGGAAATGTGTAGTTAATTTCYWTAATTTCTAGCAATTGGGTAGCTAATTGATTATGATTGTGAATGTATTGAGACTGGATTTGGTTCATGATTAGTGGATTTCATTTATGCAATCCTTGTGCCCTTTTTGTTTTCTCCTATTCAAGTTTGATTATGTAAGTTGGATCCCTTKCTTAKTCTAATYTGGATTTGAATTGCTAGGGTGATTTATGAATCCGTAATTGTTTGTAAATCTCTCTCGGTAGCAAACGATACACGGTTGGCAAGTGTGTTAATTGTATGTATTGTAGGATGGCATAACCCAACTCACATAAACGGCGTCCGTTTATTGGTTGGTTTCGGTATTTGTATGAACTTAATGCAATTGACAATTGAATTCCGAGTCCGTGATTGGATTAAATTAGTTGATTAGAGGCTAGTTGTACAGGCATCTCGTATTAGTCATGTTTATGTCAAACAGAATGTCAATGCGTATTGGTGTTCAATCCGATTTGAGATCCTTTGAGAGAATGGTTTGGTTGGGTCGGTGATACATAATTCACATGATTATTCAATCGATACTCATTGCTAGATTATTTCACATATCGCCTAAAAGTCTTTATTTAATTGGCAATTTTTTTACTTGTTTATAAATCATCTAACCCCCCCCTTTTTAATATATAGTGTTTTATTGTTAATGAATTTGCACACGTTTACGTCTTGGACTTACGGTTAACATCGAGTCCCTGAGGAGACGACCCTACTTATCGCTATCACAAGTTGTGTTTTAGAGATAATAGGCTTATTTTTATAAATTCTATTATTTGTCGGACTCGACACCCATCATTTTATTTACTTAAATGAACAAAGGGCAAAAAATAAGACATGACCAGAATGCCCCTCACTTAACGGACGAGAGTGAACTATTTTTAGTGGCATGGACCAAAACGTTATGAAAATGCAAACTCTAGGGAGTTATTTTGGAATAAAAAACTTTAGGGTCTAAGTTCAAGACAAACTTAAAATCACAGTAACCAAATATGTCTGTAACTTTTTTAGTTTAAAGCCTCTATAATAGGCCATATTGGGAGGAGCATAGGGAAAGTCGAGTTCATGTGGCTAAATATGAAACCCTATCGGATTTTGGAGTGGGTTTTCATGAGCTAAACACTTAGGGACTGTTTAGATCATGGGAATTTGGTGGAATTGGAATGTCCAATCCTTTGGCTAAATTCCAAATAGAGTGTTTGGTTCATAGAATAAAACTATGGAATCATTTCAATTCCAGTCGACTCCTTCACGCACAGATTTTACAATTCTACGGCAATATGCTAGGATTTCAATTCCTTTCCTACAGATTTCTTCCCTAATCCAAATTCATTCAACACGTCTACCATCTCATCTACTGGATTTCTGGTTCGATCTCCAGGTACGTTCTCTCTCTCTCTCGTAAACAAAATTCGATCTCCAATCTGGTTCGATCTTCAATCGATCTCTAGTTCGATCCCCAATTGAATGGAATTAGGGCACCGATCACTTCTGTAAACAAAATTCCGTTGTAAATGGATTGTTGTATTTATAGTTATCACTAATCTGTATGATCATTTGTAGCAGCATATGATAGATGGTGGTTGTACAAAATGATCAACAGACTTGTATTTTGGCCATGGATTGCCACAGTTGTCTATAGCATTTTAGTACATTAATGGTAATTCCATTTTGTAATTTGATTTTTAATCCAGTTGACACTTAATCAGTATTCAAAATGGACCAAATCCTTTGTATGTACGTGGGTTTTGGTTAGAGAAATTGGTAAAAGGATTGCGGGGGGGGTATGTTTAATGTTACCATGTATAGTTAAATCATGAGTAAGACTAAACCAGAACAGGAAAACAAACAGTAATCCATATTCTGTTTACCTCCCACCTTATATCACCAAATACAAATTGAAAACACTTGGTCCAAGCTTCAAAAACCCTGAATTTCATTCCTCCAATCCAAATCATATAAGAAAAAATGACAGATTATATAAATGGCAGTGGACCTGTTGATGGCTAAGTTAAGTTGACCTTTTATGCAATGGCTTGCAAATATGTAAAATGTGATCTTTTAGTGAAGGACCTTCTTTTGTGTACTTTTCAACCTTCTGTGAAGCTAATGCCATCACACCTCTCATGATTCCCCATGTCATTTGTCCAATTTCACTTGTCTTTGCAGTCACAACATTCACAGTTTCATTCACCTTGTAATCATAGCCCCCATCTCTCACTTGTTGTCTGACAAAAGTCTAGTTTAAGTCCTGTTTATATTAGTTAATTAGCTTTCATAACCTTCATTTTGGTACCTTAGATGTGACTTGTCAAACATTTAGGTACCTGGTTTACATATGAGATTGCATGAAAAATGAACGTATTTTGGTATAGTTCCTATTTAAGTACTGGTACTGGAGTTGGTTTGAAGAAGGTTGGCATTATTTCCTATTTAAGTACTGGTACTAGAGTTGTCTATTTAAGAAGAATTTGGTTTGAAAAAGGTTGGCATTATTTCCTATTACTAGTACTGATACTGGAGTTGTCTGTTTGCAAGTTAGTTTAGAACTTTTAAGTTCTCTTCAGTAGTATTACTTGCCTTTTGCCAATAACTTTTAAGGATAAGAGGTAGTTTAATTAGTTATTAGGTCATAGGTTCAGGTCCTCTTATGGCCTCATTATTCTTTTCATGCATATGGTACAAATATCTAATGCAGATTGTAGAAGATATGGGTGATTGTAATCTATACTATAACTTGGTCACTGGCTCTTCAGTAGAAAACTACTGTCATAGGGATGTAAGATGTTGACCACAATGATGATGCTTTTGATTCCTTGGCCTTTACTTTCCGTTTTATAATTTTAAATTTTAAATTTTAAATTTTAAATTTTAAATTTTAAATTTTAAATTTTAAATTTAAAATTTTAAATTTAAAATTTAAAATTTAAAATTTAAAATTTAAACTTGGTGTTAAAGAAATGCAAGAATGAGTACACTTCTGTTTTAAAATTTAAAATTGAAGTTGGTAAGCAATGCCAACAAATTTGACCAACTTGAAAGAATTTGATGTTTGATCAGCAGTTATATCATGCATGATCTGGTCATAGTATTGAATGTTGTTAGAATGTTTATTTTCTGTGTGCTTTATATCTAACATCTTATCTATAAACTATTTCAGAAAACAGGTTTTGTGAGAATCTATATGTAAAACCCAATTTTTTAATATATATATATATATATATATA